CAGTTCAAATTTAGGTTAGATATGAGTCAGGGAGCTGCACTTCTAGCAATTAGTTCAGATGCGTTATTTTTTTTAAATAATTTTGATTTTAAGGCATTGTATTCCAATAGAGGACTGGATCAGAGCATGAGGCTGTACCATATTTGTTGCAGAATATAAGAGGATAAAATTTTTGCTGTGTTGTAATGAGAGTGTATCATAGGACCTAAACTGGATGTTTAGAAGCACAATGTTACATTGGATATGACATAATTAGTTTATACCTGTAATATGGAAAAGAAGCTCTTCACAGCATTCAACATTATATATTGGCACTTTGAGGAGAGATGTCTGAGTGAATACTGAGACTGAATTAAACTTTTCCTCAAGGTGATAATTTCCAGTCTATGGTTTGAGAATGAGCTGTACAAGGCTAGGCATTTAAGTTTTTGCATGTAGTGTACCAATGAAATAACTTTGGGATAAGGTGGTTATGGAGAAATACTTAGGGGGAAAATATTATATGGGTGAGTTGATAATGAACAGATGATTAATTTATAATTCAAACTTCCCTTTCACAGCTTCTGTTTCTGCAGAATTCAAGAGAAAATAGAATTAATTTCACTTTTAAGACAGACTTTGTTACAGAGTTCTGCAAAATTTGAGTGTTTCTCGTCAGGTACCGTTACCAACAGCAAACATGGCACACTACCTTCTATATTCTCAAACTACATTTATGACGAAAGGTGGACACTTAATGGTATACTGTTACTGAAATTTGGTCTAAAAAAAAAGACACTCGTATAATTAAGTATTTTTCAGAAATACTAAGTTAACATTCTGAGGAAATGAATGTAAAATAATTCCTGTGTTGTCTATATAGATGGAAGTAGTGTGAGAGAAAATAAATAACTGTAGAATTGGATTGAATGACTCGAAGTTAGACCAGGCACCTGGGCATTACAGTGGAAAAAAATGAGTCCTAGCCCTACGTGTACCTGTCTGTAAAACTCGCCACTCGTAGTTTCTTGTGCTTAAAAAAGAAAAGTTATTGATTCGTTGCGCGCCTTTTGGCATCGTAATTTAATGTTCTGTCTTGGTGTGGCTGTGCATGTGTTAACTGAGACAATAGCAACTCAGGAGCTTTGAATACAAAGGTAATTATTAAATACATTAGGGAAAAAAATGTCAGATTCTTCAGGAATTCTGTCACCATATAGCACAAAAGCATTTAGCTTGTTCTTATTTGCTGGGTTTTTTAACCACTGTTAGTTTGCGTGCTGTTGTTTGTTTTTTTTTCGTGTGTGTGTGTTTTCTTGAGAAGTTGTATTGAGAATCATCTCTTCGTGTCCCCCAAAGACTTACCCAATTGAAATGAAACCTGAAAGAAGAATATTATGTAAAGGATAAATAAGACAGGTTTTTAGAGAACTGGTAAAAAGGTAAAAGTGAAGGAATACAAAACTATAGTAAATTGTGATTTATTTATTTTTTTAAGCTGGCTTTTGATTGTAACCTGAGTGTCATGAATCAGTTAAATACAGCAGAAGCTTTTTTTTCCCCTTCTCTGATTATGGGAAACATTCATTTTGGAAGCAGGAACATGCTGTATTCTGTAGTAAACTTTGAAATCACAATGCGACAACCAAAATCTGTTGGTCTTAGTGGGGGTTCTGTTTAAAAAGTCAATTCTCAATTTTTCTGCATCTGTAGTTTCTATGAATTTCTGGGCTATGATAGGTGAGGCAGCTTGATACTCGACCACCAATGGTCAAAGTAGAAAATTGGTAAATGAGGAATGTGATGTGGTCACAGGGGCGGTGTTCCCAGGGACAAGCAGACTACGAGCTTGGTATTTAGAAACACGACTGACAGGCAACAAATAAAACACTCTTACGAGGAGTAAAGGACTTAAGACCACAATGGTTTTAACAGCAACTGAAAGCATTGTAGGTATTTTTTTTCCAGCTAGAGGAAGAGGATGTTTGACTCAGTTTAAAGATAAATGGTTGCAAGTGCAAGTCTGTGCTTCCCATTTGTACTTTATTGTCATCTTAATGCTTTCTGGTACAGCTGCTGACCTTCGTACCCTACATCGAGTTTCCTGCATCCTGGTCTTGTTGGTGGTCAGTCAGGCAGTGGAGTCAGAGTGAAAACGTAGAATTGGAAATTTACATTGCATTACTTGGGGATTTAAGAGTTGGGTTTTAATCTTGATAGTTAACTTAAACTTTGACATGGAAGCAGCTTGTAGACTTACGTTCGGTGTTCCAGTGCCAGTGTGAAACGTGTTTTATTCCCGGCCTACGAAAAGCAACAGTTATACTTTCTAGTGGCTCAAAAGATTAAATGTGATGCGGTGCTCTGAAATTTCTTCTTCTAAAAAGGGTGGTTAATGGCAAACTGGAGTAAGAAGTATGAATAGAGGCTATGCTCTTGATTACTATTGCTTGTTTAGACTTCATGACATTTGCAATTTGGCTAAAAGAGTTATTTTTTTGCAGATAGTCGTGGTGATTTGCAGAAGTTGCCTTCCCTCACTTAAAAGTTGCTGCATTGAGTGTGGAGGCAGAAGGAGCAAACACATATCCATAACTCAGCCCGCCTCAGTGCAAAGTCCAACAGCTTAATTAGAATTGTGGATAAGGGTGGACTTAAGCAAAGTTTCTGGGTTTTGCACTTGCATAGCTAATGTTTCAGTCTGCCAATGCCGCTGAGATGTTGGTGGGTCCTGGTACAAGAGTCGAGTAGATAACTGGGGCAATAATTTCTTAAATGTAGCGAATAGCTTAAAATTCTTGACTAGCTTCTAATTTCTTAACTCTGAGTCATGTCTTCAGATGGTTCTCAACACCCTGTGTATATTCTTTGAAATGAGATCAGCTTTTTTTTCTTTGTCTTTATCTGTGTCTTTAGTATAACCCCTAAATATGCTACAACTACTTGTGTGGATAACGCCATCTTTGTTGCTAATTTTAATAAATCTTGTCTGTGTTCGTGATATTGGTACCCTTGGGGTTTTTTGGGGGGAGTGGGAGAAGAGTTTGTGAGTATGGGTAGCTTTAATTGATGGTTCACTAAATGATCTTAGTGTTAATTTCCTGGAAAACTGTCACACATATGTCATCGTGTACATGCATTGTGTTTTCTTGTAAAGATCTAGGCATCCTACAAATGCTTACTTGAAGCTGAATTGTGTGAGAATAGTGTTGGGCTTCAAGCATTGTGCTATTAAAAACATTGTTTTTCAGCATAGATGGAGTATTCAATGGTTTCAGAGCTTGCTTAAAGGGTTTTCTAAGGCTACCTGACACTTCATTGGGGTAGGGAAAATGCTAACGTTCACAAGTTTCATGACCTGCAAGCTCTTGTGAAACTTACGCTGTATCATGTCTCATTTTTATTCATGCATGTGTGTGGTTCTAAAAGAGACCAACCATTAGACAATAGCAAACTTAAAATTGTTAAATTTTGATTGGAGCATTTGAGGAGTTCATTACCCCTCAAAGAGCTTTGGTTTTGATGGTTGATTGATTCCGCGCCCCCCACCCCCCCCCTTCTTTCATGACATTAGCAATTAGAATAACTTTTTTTTTTAACACGTAATGACAATACCAAAGAAACTGCATTGGCATCTATAATCCACAGTATCAGAATAATAGGACAATTATAGATAGGGTTTTTAATTAGTTTGCTGTTCACAGCAGTTTGTGTCTTGAGAAGGAGGAGGCTTTTTAAGAGTTTGGTTTCATCCTTACTAAGTAGGTAATTTCAAATTCCATTTTATTGCAATGCTAAGGAAACAGTTGTATTATCAATAGTAAAGTCATCGAACGACTTAAAGCTTCATGTATGGTAGTCACCAAGTAGGAAATTAACTCAGAACACTTAAGAATCAAATAAGGATGACATTTGGTTTCTTGTGCAAGTATTATTTAAATCTTTGATGGGGGGTTTATTTTTGTTTGGGTAAAATATTACTGACTATTTTAAGTTTCACAAATAGACACTTTATTCTAACAGTTGCTGCGGTAAGCGTGTAGAACCTACTGTTTTTTAGGCGCTAGACATTGGATTCTAATGTAAATAATTGTATTTTGAGTTGCTGTTTTGTGTTCTGAAATGCCTAAGCAATAAGCAGTTGCACAAACAGTTTTGGAAAACTACAGTGTATGCCTGCAATGTTGGTGATGCCTCTCAAAAAATGTCTTTGACGCTTCAGGATTTTTTTTTGGGTGGGTTTTTTTTTAAGATCACATATTTACAACATGGCTTACATTGGAAAACAGCAAGCTTAAGTTTTGTTGTAGAAAGAGAAGAGCAAATTTCAGTGCAGAAGGCCTTCTGTGAAGATCAATAGTGGAGACTCCTAATGAAAGGATCGTAGTGGATCTCAATGAATATAAGTTATATCCTAAAGAAGAGTTGCAGACCTTAAGGTATATGCGGAGGGATGGCAGGAATTTCCTAATGTACGTGGTTTTGTCAGTGCAAAAGAAATGTATAACAAAGGGACAAGTGACTGGAATGAGGGAGACTGAAATCTCTTCCAGTGACAGTGTCAATTCCTGTTGTTTCAGGTGCGTGTGAAACTGGCCTTAGCTGAAGGTCAAGTGAGACCTTCCCCAACTCAGTACGGGGTAGCAAATGTGTGACCAGTTAGAAACTGTGTGCTGCTTGTAGGTTGTTGCTAGGTGTTTAAAACCATCCTGACTTACACAGAAGAAGCTTTCAAAGTGAATGCTAAAATTTAAGTAACACATATATGAAGATGACTAGAAACTTGTGAGCCTGTAGGTTGTGGATGGAAGTGTGTTACTGAGCTTGTTTTCTTCATTGCTTGTCTCTCTCTCAGTGCTGGGTAGAGGAGATGGGGAGAAACAGAGTAATCTATCAACAATGACTTAAGTGTTTAAAAAGTTATTTCTTCTCAAAAAAACCCCTAATACTCTGCATGTAAAATAGCATATTTTTAAATTAGCATGTGGTAGTTCATATTGTGAACTAAATCAAATTTTCTGTTTATTCTAGTTGGTTTGGATGCTGCTGGTAAGACAACTATTCTTTATAAACTGAAACTAGGAGAAATTGTCACCACAATTCCCACTATTGGTAAGATAACCAATTCTCATGTCTTCATTCTTGTTACTCTAAATTTATGTTATAGAGACTGGCTTCTGAAAAGCATAGGGATTTGATGTTAGTATAAGAATCAAGACAAACATGGGCTTTCTGGTACAGCCATAATGTAACGGTCAGACTAAAGATGCACAGAATCCTGTGTCTGATAGTGGCCAGTAGCAGATGCTCAGGAGTGTAGGAACCAATTAAGTAGCAGTACTTCACCATGAGCCTCTAGCAGTGTGTGGCTGAAAGATTTGCTGAACCAAAGGTGGTGTACTTGGATTTATGTGATTAATTTTGACCCACCCCCCACCCTTCAGTTAATTTTCTTCTTGGGAGAGGTATAACTTTGGGAGTAGCTATATTTAACATGGTTAGAATTACATTTTAATACTAGCATTAACTGTTTCTAATTACTCAACTCTTTTATTTTTAGGTTTTAATGTGGAAACAGTAGAATATAAAAACATTTGTTTCACAGTTTGGGATGTTGGTGGTCAAGATAAAATTAGACCTCTTTGGAGGCATTATTTCCAAAACACACAGGTAAGAGTTCTGAGACTGCAGTAGTTAAAAACCTGTTTTGTAAAGTCTCGTTATGTTCTGTAGAGTATATATGGAAAGTTGTCTTCTGTCCTTTCCTTTCAGAAAGGCTCCTCACTACTTCCTGCAAGTTCTGAGGGATGCCCAGATTTTATTACAGTTGAAGCTAGTTTGTTACCCTGAAGGCTTCAAGTGTAGTCATGAGTGTGGCCTGGCAAGGATGAAGTCCTTTAGGATCTATCTGCTGGTGTTCTGTAATGTGCCAGAGCAGCTGGTTTGTTTGTGAGGAACTCTTGAACGTTGCAGTATCCATGCTTTGATCTGTTTGAACTGGCATTGGCTTATGCATAAAATATCTTATTGTTTAAACATCATTCTGCAACTGTTTTTTTAATACTCGGCCTTAAAATAAACAGCTTTTTACTGTGCTATATCAGTGTATTTAGTACACTGAGTATCTAAAAATATTGTAAAATATTTTGGTAGTGATTGATTAGAAAGTGTCAGCTTCATATTGATGTGACTGCTGTATATAAATGTGGTTCTTCCCTTTGGTTCACAAGTAGTGAGGTAAGTTGCTTGTTAGTATCAGGAAACTTCGGGAGAAGGTTGTTGGGTTTTTGTTTTCTGTGTTGAATACAGAATGGTTTCCAAGAAACTTCCATGCAGCATGTGATTGGTGCAGAAAAATGGGGAAGCCTGGATTGGCAAAAAGGAGCTAGCAAAGTACTGTTGTGAATAGAGTAATACTTACTTTCAGTTCCTTATTCAACCCTATTACTAAATATTTTTAAAAGATGCTTCTCTTTTCTTAAAGAGAATAATAAAATGTAATGTTTTCAGACTGGAATTTCAGAGTAAATAGTGTGTCTAAGGAGGACACTTGAGTAACAGAGATGCCACTAGAAATACTGTTTTGTGCAAACTTCTTTATACAGATTCAGGCCTTACTTTAAGGGTGTGGGTTTTTTTCAGTGAAACGAGATGGTGCGAAGCACTTGTGACTCTCTTGCTGCGTTGAATGTGATGCAATAAATAAAAAGGGAGAGTTAGCTTCTGAAATTTTGCTGGTATTTTTTTTTTTTTCTTCCACAGTAATCTGTAAACCAACATTTGTGGGTTTTAACTTTTTTTGTTTAGAAGGCCTAGCTTTACTTTGCAGCTGAAACGTACGTAGTTCAGACAGACATCTTGCATTGCTTAAACAGAAATTTCTGTCAAATTTGCTTACCTAAGAGGACGGAACGATCACAATATTCAATATGAGGTTTTTTGGTTTTTAAAATAGTACTGCACGTTTACATTGGTTTTTCAAAACTGTTTAACTTCTTACAGGGCCTCATTTTTGTGGTAGACAGCAATGACAGAGAGAGAATCCAGGAAGCAGCAGAAGAGCTGCAGAAAATGGTAAATATAGATACCTTCTGAAATATGATTGTTTTACTTACTTTTGTCATATTTTTGGATGATTGTCAGCTTCCCTAAGAGATCTAGGATTTTAAAATTTTGCGGAGTTTGTACAGTGCATATTGTATTTGCCTGGTTATTCTGGGTCACATAGTGCACTGAGTTGTAACTACAGTTCTGCAGAGAGCTTTAGCTTAAGAACTGCTAATGCATCAGAACCTTCCTTTCCTTCATAAAACCTTAATAGAAACACACCAGATAAAGAATTTTGGAAAAACAAATTGGTGTTACGAGTTTCATCAGCAAGGTGCCGGTAAACATAAACTGCCTGTTACTTGTAGGGGGAGTTCTGTTGGGTACTAGTTACGTTTCGCTCAATACTTACTAGTGGCTTCAGGAGTAAGAATGAAAATGTTCATAAATCAGTATTTAGGATTTCTTTAGTGCTGGTTGAAGTAATTGCAGTACTAACCTGAGCTAATTTAATAACGTGACCATTTTTTCTGTTAGCTTCAGGAGGATGAGCTGCGAGATGCAGTGCTGCTTCTGTTTGCAAACAAACAAGATCTGCCAAATGCCATGGCAATCAGTGAAATGACAGATAAATTAGGTCTTCAGTCTCTGCGTAACAGAACTGTAAGTGCCGAATTTCCTCGTTGCTAAACTCTTGTCTTCCTTTACTGTGTATCATAAACATAAGTTTTCCTTTAAAGGAAAGGGAAATCTTCACCTCCTTCTGCAGAAGGATGCACAATCTGCTATTAAACTCTGTAGTACATAGTTTAAGGTCCTTGTTCAAAATAAGTGATTTAGAAGTATAATCCAGTGTGTACAGCTGTTGCAGGTGCTTTGTCTCTCACCTTTTCCTGGAAAAATACCAGTATTCCAGCCTGTCACTGAAATACAGCTGTCGAACATGTTTGACAAAGTATGTGGTGGCCTTTCCCATTTTCTCAGTATTTGTTATTCTGGGGGAGCAAATGCATGCTGCATTCTCACCCCTACAAAGATGGGAGGAGACTAAAGTAGCTCCTGAATTGTTAGACTCCTGCACAAGCCTTTGAGACGTAGGGTTGCTTCACAGAAACCGTCTAGCCCTCTGTAATACTCGCTTAATGTCTGTATGTTGACACACTAAGATCGTAGCCATAGAAGATGTTTTAGAGGTCTGTTAATTTAGATAATTCCATGTCCATTTCCTGAAGAGTGGTCTTTCAAAAACAAGAAGCAAGTTTTCAGCATATAAACCAAATGCAAGTTCTGTATTTGTTTCCTGATGCCTTAAACAGTGTTCTAGCACTTGGTGGGCCAACACTGAGTTTCTGGATGATGTCTGAACCCCATCTACTTTATATATGCTTTTCAAAACTCTTAAAAATACCATCTGTTCAGTATTGACTCTACTTACGGCACAAAACAGTGCTTAAAGAATACTGTTTGAGTGTGTATCTGAGTGTCACATACTGTGATAACGTAGTTTGCATTTTGTCAGTGTTTAAATTTGATTTTTGTTTGTGTTCTACATTAACAGTGGTATGTCCAGGCTACCTGTGCTACGCAAGGAACTGGTCTGTATGAGGGACTTGACTGGCTGTCAAATGAACTCTCAAAACGCTAACTCAAACTGGATGACACTTTCACCAGGGACATGTTTGATATAAGTGGTCTAGGCTTGTTACAACAAAATTAGTTTGCATCTTGGTTATTACAGTATCTGGAACTGATATTTGGGCAGGATATTACAGCGTTTCAACTTATTTTGTTGCCAATTATTGTTTACCGAGCTACATGTTGCAAAGGTAGCAATATGCTTGGGTAAAAATCTCCTTAACTTGGAAAAAGTGTATCTTCCAATTTTATTTCCCTTGTTAGCATAAATGCCTGAATATAGTTATTGTGACATCTTTAAGATCAGTTTTGAATACTCTTTTTGAACCCAAATAAATTAATGTTTTAATTTTTTTTTCTCCCTGCTACTTTTAGTTTACTGATGCCCTGTTTCATTCCTCAGACAGTCTGCTGATTTAAAAATGTAGCATTCCATATGTATTTATTTCTCTCCCTTGCCAAAAAGAATTCCTAATACTGCTTGTTCCAGCCAAGGAAATGCTCTAAAACACTATACAAATCTACTGCACTGAGGAACATTTTATTAATCCTTGGGTTCTGTCAGCCCAACTTGCCTTTGTGTGAATTGGATTTGATGGGTAGAATAGTTCTGTGCTGGTTGCGAAGAGCTCATGTTGAGGTTGTTTTTAATATTCAGCAGATTGTCTTCCTTTATATTGTATCTTTTTTTTTTTATGTTGCATGTTGCTTTTTGGTATCAGCCTGACTATTTTTGCCCAGTGTATAATAGTTCTGCTGAAGTTTTACTGTTTGTTGGTGAACATATCTTCATAAAGAAATTTTGGAAAATTCATCAAACTCAATGGATTAGTTTCTTCATAACCCACTTGGAATTATTCCTAATAAAATGATAAAATGTATAGTTCTGTGTATGCTCTTCCTGATTCCTGAAATAGTTGAACTGCAAGTTACCACTTAAACTTTTTTTCCATATACTGAGCTTTCCTGCAGCTTGAATGTGAACATCAGTCTCAGATTTTCACTTGTTTGGAGCTATGTAGAGTGGGAGACGAAAGGTGGGCAACAGTTGTATACAGTGCAGTAGAGTAGCCATCATCAAGACTTACATGATTCTGTAAGTGTCTTTTGAAGTTGTAAATCTAAAATTCTTTTTAAGATGTCCAGATATGAGAATACTAACAGTTACAAAAATTGTAATAAACGAAATACGAACTGCCTGAAAAGCATGCATGTCTGTTTCGTAGTTGTATCTACATTTAAAAACCAAGATGGGCTCTAGCAGGAGAATCAGATCCTGTTGGTGGCTAGCCAGGAAGCTAACTTGAACACTTTTACAGGATTTAGTCAGTATTATATTAATGGTGATAGTCACCCCAAAAATCAGCTCTGTGGAGCTTCTACTGACTTCTTTCATATTTCTGCCCCCTTACATCTCTGTAGTACAAAAGACTTAAATTAACATGTTTTTTGAGGCTGCTGCTAATGGGTATTTTAAAATCTATTTTTCTATTGCCTGTCTGCTGTATGGATGCAAATATGGCTCAATCTTCCAACTGAAATATTCTATTCTATTTATTGTATGTCTTTAGGAACCCAAAGCATGATTTCATTGCAGTTTCAGGCTGAGTTCCTCTCTTATTTTTTACTCCAGGTCTTGTTATCCTTGCTACAAGAAATCCCAGTGACAAGGTCTGGTAAACTCAAGCTAGTTTAGGTTAAGAACACCTTCCAAGGCAGCTTCTGCTGTAACTGCGGTTCAGGTTTCTAGGAAGTACTGTTACTGTGAACACAACTAACCAGGGAAAATTCCAAAGCATTTGAATATGGTCATTGACTGTTTTCAATGTGTAACAGAAACCCAGGAGGCAGTGTAAGGTGAGTAGGGTTTTGCATGTACCTTCAATGAACGCTGATTACGTATTAACCGAAGTTGAGATATCCATGCATATTTCTAGCAATGCAGTTCCTTGAGATAAACCTTGAAAGGACCACCTTGTTCAGAAGAGGCGGCTTGTCGTAATACGGATTGTGTTGGTAGTCCCGATAGGTTAAAATGAAACAATGCTTGTGACAAATGAAATGCAATCTCCTCTTCCAAGGAAGAAGTTAGAGGTAGACTTTTCATTTAAAAAAGCAGATAGTTAGGAACAAATTAGGCCTATTTTCTTGAAGGAAACATTCTGTTTGGTAGAGATGAAATTTCGTTGTTTTAATCATTTCAAATGCTGTAGTGTTAATCAGAGCATAGGGAGGAACTGAAGCCAGTACTTTAATCTTCCTGTAAATAGATAAGATCACAGTTTACCTCTGTTACTAAAATGGTATTTTGCCTCTTAGTACTCTATAAGGTTGTGATCTTGGAAGCAAGGGCTCTGTTACGCAGTTTATTCATTGTAATACTGAGATGTTGAAAGGGACAGGACACTTGATGGGCTATGGAATAATGTCACAATTGACAGAAGTAAATAAACTTTCCATCAGGTTAATAAATTCTCATCAACTCTCTGAATTCTCTTAACGTTTTTGAGGTACGCTCTAGATCACGTGTTCTAGATTCTAAGCAGCAGTCCCTGGGGTTGGTGCGTGTGCTTGGAAAACTGCCTTGTCTTCAGGTGACAAACATGAAGTAGTTTGTTATGCATATTCTTACTGGCTGTTACTGTGAGCTGAAACTTGTGAGCACATCACCTTGTCCCAGTATGTCTTTCCTGCCCTTGCCAAGAATGTATTGACAGGGGACTTGAGTAAGAAATGACATTTGATGTGCTGCTGTTGGACCTACGAATGAAGCTTAGCTACCGCATGTGGGATGCGTTGTGCAGAAAAATGTTTAAAAGCATCAGGTTCTATTAAGGGATCTGATGCAAATTCTAGGAAAACTGTGGAATGTTTCAGGCTCTTCCTCTTACTGGGTGGGAGTTGAAAGTGTTAGAACAGGTTTTTTGATGCTAGGAATGTGAGAAGCAAGGCAACTACATAATTTGAGGTGTTGAAAGATCTGACTCCTTAGCATGTTGGGTATTTTTTTTCCCTTCCTTTCTTGTACCGTTTTTCTCCTTCCTTTTCTTCCTCCTTCTGTCAATCATTGTATTACTGTTTGCTTTGTCCTGATACATAAAGGCATTTTACTGAAGGCTTCAAAAATAGTAGTGATACAAGAAACACTGATGTGTAAGAATGGAAGTACTGTCACAGGTTGCTAAGACCACTTTGTCTGGAATGGACAAGGCTGGAGAAAAATGAGTTCCAAGTTGCCAGACCGGTCAGAAGGGTCTGGCAGGACTTGGTTGGGTTTTGTACGTATCAAATAAGACAGGTAAACTACATTTCACAATAACCCAAAACCAAGCCAAGTATCTGTTACCTCCAGAAGGCCAGTCTTTCAGTGCTCTTAATTCTAGTGATGTTCTTGTGAGTAACAAGTTTGTTCACAGCAGGAGACAGTGTGAAAGAAGAAACTCCTCCCTTCTGAGACAACAGCTAGTCAGAGCAGATGCTGGAGCAGTGCTGTCTCTCTTGAGTTCACTGCATCAGAGATGGGAAAGTTGCTTAGAAAGCAAAGCGAGATGTGCTTTTTTCCCTGTTTCCTTCATGGCTGGTCTGGGAAAGCAGAGTAACAAAAAAAACCCAACCAACCAAACCCCCCCCAAAAAAAACCCCCAACAATCCACACACACATTTGAAAAGATGCAGAGAATCTTGTGCAACTTTTTGATGTGAAGGATATGGAGCATTCCAGTTGCTGGAAGAGGAGGAACACAGGTGAGTTTAGGTTTATGAAATAAAATGGAGACAAGCTTAATGGGGCTTCTATAAATCTAGGTTCTGGAGGTGATGTAGAGGAAGAATTAATTGCTGGGCAAGGTACAGATGTGTAGGGGGAGCTAAAATGGGAGTTAAAATCACCTTGTGTGGAGTAGGAAGCACCATGTATTACCTCACATAGGTGTAAATACAGCTTGGGAGCATGGGGGATGTGGGCCAAAGGTGCACCTAAGGATTGCTTTTCACTCCTCAAAACATGACAGTTCTTTTGAATTGTGACTTTTTCCTGACCTACACCCCAGTGCTGCATTCTCACTCCAGAAATGTCAAACTAGTTCCTGACACACTGCTGTTATGGGCAGTCAGCCTGTGCTGCTGCATTTTACTAATTAAATGAGGGATACTTGGACTGAAGAATCTCCGGCATTGGCTTGTGGGGCTGAATTTCCTCCTGAAGGTATTAAAGGATTATCTGCCATGTGCAAGGACCATCTAATTTTACTGGGCCCGTGCCAGTGCTGTGTTTGTCCCTTAGCGCTTGCTTCCTGCAGATGCCAGCTTTCCTGTGGTCTACCTCTCTTGGGTCTGCAAGGAGACAGAAGCAGCAAAACAGGGAACGAGGGACTTGAGGTTTCTTGGAGAAGTTACAGATTTTTAATGTTTTGCTCTTGTAAAGTAAGATAAAGCAAGCCAGTTGTAATGGATAGGTACTTAAAAAGGAGGAAAAGAATGGTTTTTAAAGTTACAAGGGGAGCTCAGTTAGCCTATGTAAGTAATATAATTTCACTTCCAAACTTAACAATTGCAATCTTACTATTCTAAGTGACTGAGACATTTCTCTGCCAGTCTGCAAGCCCGCATTACTCAGTGGAGTTGGTTTGGGTTTTGGTGAGTTTTTCCCTCAAATTTTTCAGAGCTGGTAAATTGTAGGAGGCTTCAGAATCAGCTGTAATGTAGTAATTTTCAGTGTTTTTCTGAGGTGTTAATATTTATAGTTTCTTCTTGAATAGATCTTCCAATTAATTTTTCTGCCATTTAAGATGCCATAAGTCCAAATATGACATCCTCAGGTGTAAGCTTTCCTTCATTTACTAAACTAGTAAATATCCTCTGCCCAGACACGAGGTTTACAGCCTCCATTCTGTTTGCAATATTTTCTCTACACTTCTGTATCTCGAAGTTTAGTTATGAATCACTGATACTTTATCAACTTTGTAGTCTGGAAGAGTACAGACATCACCTTCAACTCATACGCAAGATTGAATTATACTTTACCTTTTAATTGGACTTGTAAGAGAACAGTAACTGATCGAGGATCGACCCAAAGTATTTAGGGTCCAATTTTACAGGGCAAGTACTGTCCATTGCTCTGTTGCAGTATCTAACATAATTCATTGCCATTTTTATTACCCCATTCCCCGTTCTGCTTCCATTTTTTTAATCCAAAGACCCTTGGCTACCATTTGGCTTAGCTAAAATGGTGACTTGGCAAAAATGGAAATCTGAAGGTTTATCCATAAGCCTGACAAAGCCTGTTACAATACACGAGCACTCTTTCTATGAGGTCTTGTGTTTTGTGGCAGATGTGTTTAAGCAGGTGAATGCCTTGCTCCAGGCCTTGATCACTTCCTACCACCTCCAAGCCTGTATCTTGTTCTTTGGGCACAAGAAGCCTTTTATGGTGAATCAGCTCAGGATACAATGACCCAGTAAAACAATACAGTCAAGAAAATGAAAGGCCCTGTATTTTTAGCTGGATCACTTCCCTATTTAGCTTGGTATAGCATGAGCAGGAACAAGCAGCCAGAATTCAGAGATGGTAGAGCAGGATCGGGTAAGAGGCTGGGATGAGAGGAAGATGGAAGGTTAACTGCTTCCGTTGCTGAAAAAAGCTACTTGCAAAGGATACTTACATCAGATCTTTAGTAGTAGGGGCTTCTACAAACTTAAATATTGGTGGAACAGTCCTTTTGCCCATTTCTGTTTACCTGTGTTTTTATGTTCAGAGTTGGTAACAAAATTCTGGACACTTCATGAGATACTGCGAGAAACATGTTTTGAGATTTGTAGGCCTGCACCTTTTTAGCCTTCTATCACTTCTGAGGCAAAACCTGCCTGTTGGCTTTAGTAGTGCAGTTTATCAGCATCACCTTGTTACTACAGTAACAAAAGCAGTAGTAATTTTATTAGAAATAACATAGAAAAGGCTAAAGAGCAGACATTTACATGCTTTTGCAAAGCACCACCCTTTCACAGTACAGTAGGTACTTGAGCAAGAGACAGGACCAACGACCCTCAGCAATATGCTACTTGTGACTGTCTACTCTCAGTAGTATATAAATAGTTTATGAAACCCAGCTATAACCTACAGTCCACCAGAATGCAGTGGAGGGGAGTAGTTGTGCAAGTGTAGGGTACACAGCTTTTATCAACTTGGGCAGACTTGTTTTGCTGTGAAAGA